CGAGCCCTCTTATCTGCCATCTTGCCGCTCATCGCTCCGCCAATGTTCTCGCGCCTCGGCAACAATATGGCTATCTCCGTGCTGGCGATCATTGCGACCATGTTCTGTGCAATCCCGCCCCTGTTCTCACGGTTTGGGAAGCAGATCCGCGCCAAGAGCAAGTTTGCTAAGTACAGCTTGCGCATGTATAACGAGCATAGTGTTGACGAGGACGGATACTAAGAATGATGGCTCATGCTTTAGAGCTAGAGGAATGATTCACGGCCTTTATATCTCGTCGATGTGGTATAGATTATGAGGCAAGAGGCTATGAGGAGGAGGTGGATTAGTGATGGAGAGGAAGAGTTGCCAACCGAACCGATAGTTTGCTATAAATATGGCGTACGCTGGGCGAATTGATGATTTTAATTACTCTTTCATGTGGTACGAAACGGAGGTATCACAAACACGATGATTGTTTTGTTTTTTTGGAGTTTGCTGTCGTGTTTCTCCCCCCCCATGATCGTGCCATCTTTTATTTTGTTTTATTTTCTTAAATAATATAGGCGCAGTTTCAGAATAAATAAATAGATCTTATGCAGTGTTCCGTCTCTGATTTCGTAATTTCTTTCCCTGGTTTTTCTGCCAGGCCAAAAAACCCCTGCCGCTTCAACCTCCCCGCCATTTCCCATCTTCTCCTTCGCAAAAGCAGCATCCCTTTCCATCTACAATTACTATTTACCTCCGCGATTGATATTGTTTGCCCTTCTTGCTCCGTGACAATTTTACTCTCTGTCTCAGTGCAGAATGGATAACCCGGGAGTTCAATCCTCGGATCTCCCCCATTCGCTCCATCTTGACTCGCTCTCAGGTGTTGCTGAGGATGCATCCACATTGGCAGCGGCACAAGCACAACACCAACATGATATCCAACATGTCCCCAGTGCTGAGCCCACTGACGCGCAGTCGTTGCATCCTCTACAAACGGCCGTTGGCACCTTAGACTCCTATTCAATTCAGCAACAAGAGGAGCAAAATGAAGCCCGATCATTTCGAGAACCATTCAACAACCTACCCGTAAGTACTGACCGGCACATACATACATACATAAGCTGGGGATCCCCAGTCATAAGTCCACCTTCACACATAAAATCTGGCAAATACTCAAAACAATAGCTAACGGGAAAAGCCCCGCGACGATTCCCATTCTCTGCGCATGCAGCCACAGTGCAATACCTTCTCCGAGGCTTCGATCTTCTCACCCAAACAGGGCGGGTACCTCCGAGACATGCCCTCGGTCGTGGACCCGCCTGATCTGGACCTGTGGAGAGAAAGGCTGTTTAATGTGGATGAGACGATTGTGCTAAGTGAAGAGCAGTATGTTCATTACCTCTTCTCAGCTTTTTCTGTACATGTACCTACCAAAGCGAGCCCCGGGGGAGAAATGGGAGGGCTCGTATAAATTCATGTGATGGACACCGATCTGACAAAAAGCCCCGATAGATTCCTGACTTACTTCCCGCATGTGGATAACATCTACTCTCACCGTTCTACGCAGCATTACAAACGCAAGCCGCTCATCTCACATTACTGGGACTGTCGATTGAAAGGCCGTCCGCCCGGGACTCCCAAGTCCGATGATCCGAACAAGAAGAAGCGGAAACGAACAGCGCGCCAACGGGATCTCTGCGATGTGAAGATCAAGATCACGGAGTATTTCCCCGGGTACAGCCCGATGATGATCGCGGAGGGCGCCGCCAATGACGCCGGGGCGGCTCTGGGCGCGGAGTCACTCTCCAGCGGAGAGGCGGTGTTTCCTCCGCCTGAGGATCCGGAGCCTCGCGATCGCCAGCCATTTGGGGTGCTGACGCCTAATCCGCCGTTACCTGAGGGTCATCCTGGGGCCAACGGACAGCGGTTCTTCACCATCCAGCGGGTGAACGGGAATGGTGCCAATGGGAAGAATGACGGGGTAAGCGGTGGGCATCGGCATACATTAGAAGAGAGTGATCGAGTGAAGAAGAATAGTGTACAGCGGTATCTGCTGAAGGAGGCGAGGGAGAAGAAGAAGGCAAGTTCGGTAAGTTAAAAATTCTCTATTCGTTGAATTTTGGCTTTTGGTTTCTATCCGAGAAAAATCCAGAGACGAGCCTTACGTCACATCAACCTCCATGCCTTGATCAATAGGAATCAATCATTCCTGCGTCTCTTTCCTTTCCCCGCTTTCTCACCAGCTATTGAATGGTCTCGTTTTCAATGTTTCTCAGATCCTTTTCCAAATACAAAAGACAGTGGTTGTTTTCCTGCCAGAAGTTCCCCGCCATTTGTTTACCCCCAACAGTCTATTCTCGGAGTCTAATTCAACCTGCGCAAAAGATCAGGACAATGTCTACTCCAAACCAACCGCCACAGAAGACATATCACACAAAAGCCACTGGCTTGGCTGCTGTGACGGTGTTGAATCATTCCAGCGAGAATGAACTGAAATTGTACGGCAGCTGTTTCTGGTACGTACTAAAGATATAGGTATCTCCAATTATCTGAATGTACTTCAAACTAACTTCCCCCAGTCCCTTTGTGCAGCGTGTATGGATAGCCTTGGAGGCCAAGGGCATTCCTTATCAGTATATCGAAATAGATCCCTACAAAAAGCCCCAGTCCCTATTGGAAGTGAATCCAAGGGGCCTTGTCCCTGCCCTGCGACACGGGGATTGGGGTTCGTATGAAAGCACTGTTTTGCTAGAATATGTATCAAACCCCACGACTTAACGCGAGTCAAGCTAGAAGAAGTACTGACACTTTCATGCAGCTTGAAGACTTGAACACCGGCCCGCCTCTGCTCCCGCCAGGGGATGCGAAGTTACGAGCCCATTGCCGACTCTGGGCAGACTTTGTGAGTTTCATTCAATATAATGCCCGTAAGAGGCATACACTGACGAATGCAGATCAACCGCAAAATAGTACCCAACTTCTACCGTGTCCTTCAGGAACAGGATCAGCAGAAGCAGATTTCAAATGCGCAAGAGCTTAAGGATGCATTCGCGACGCTAGTGAATGCTGCCGACACACAAGGGCCATTCTTCCTGGGGGCTAATATGTCCTTTGTGGATGTCCAGGTGGCTCCCTGGATCATTCGATTGCACCGCGTCTTGAAGCCCTACCGCGGTTGGCCGGACCCCGACGCAGGTAGCCGATGGGGCGCTTGGGTCAACGCGATCGAAGTTAATGAGCATGTCAAAGCGACGACAAGTGACGATGAACTCTATTTTGACAGCTACGAACGATATGCTCGTAAGTTCCCTTGATGAGGAATCTATTGTCAGGAGACTGACGCGCGTCCAGAAAACCGCCCCAACACTTCTTTGCTTGCGAATGCGATCAATTCTGGAGGAGCTCTTCCATGATCACTGTGTAGGGAACAGTACGAGTAAGTCTCTTGGAACAGCCTACTAAAGAGGTGTGGCGCGAGGCTGTTGAAGGGCTACCTTCTAAGTGATCAGTAGCCCTAATGGGTCGTGGCCGGACCCGTCCCAATGAGAGTATTTCCCGTTGCGTGGGTTATGTTGATCTGGCGCCTCTGTTGAACCGAAAGCCACCTCTACCACTGCTGTCCGGGCCTCGAGGGCTGCGAATGGGCTGCCGGGGAGATTGTTGGTCATTTCCATTTCGGTCATTGGTCGGTTGCTTCTCTTTCCTCTGTACATAACTTGGCTTAGGCGAATCGGGATCGTAGAGCTGTTTAGATTTTCCGGATGCCACGGAAGAATCTCTCTTGTCTCGGTTGTTGTCTCTTCCATTACCACGGCTTCTTCCTTTCCCTCTACCCTCCTGCTTTGGTGGGGTCCCGCTGCGCGGTGACGATGCACCTGACGTAGTGCCGGAGGGGCTCCCGAACAATCTCTCACGTACTTCTTCATACTTGCGTTGCTTTTCTTCTCGATTCCGCAGCGCAATGGCGTGACGTTCCTCAGGGGTAGGCTCTGGTGGTTTATTGTCATCGTCCGAATCGTCATTATTATCACCGTTCAGAGCCAGTCGTCCAAGACCAGCGGCTGCGGCGTTGACAGACGATGATTGCCGAGAAGGGTGCGGATTGCGACTCAAAAGAGTCACTGCCGGTTTGAACTCCTGCTTGAGAGGGACATTGGAGCGCGATTCCAGGAAATGGAACGTTTGCGGAGTTTCGCTGTATGTAGAAGAACGGTCAGAATGCGATTGCTCAGGACATGGACAGCACAAGAGACAGGTTGTGGTGAAGAAGATATACGTACGCCTCCGCCCATAGTTGCCGGTTAAATTCCGCTTGCTGCGCCCTGCGCTGTGCTTTGGTCACTTTGGAGGATACTTTCTTTTCCGGTGGAGGCTGAGTGGGGTCGGACGCTAAGGTCTGCAGAGTTCGCGGTCAGATCAGTGGATTATAGAAAGTGAATCCAGAACGGTTGATTCGGCCCTAGAATACGGCTATGTATAGCGAGAAGGAGGGCATACATCGGCTCGTCTTTCCCAGTCATCTTCCCATGCATCGGGTGTCTCAGCGGAGGACTTGGCGCTCATTGTTCACACGTATAATCTATGGGAAAGAGAAGAAAATGCAGATGCAGAATGAACAAGAAATTCCAGATGCAAATAATGTATTCCAAGATAGAAAAATTTAAACCAAACTCTCTCCAGGAGTAGGAAAATCGGGGGAGTGAAAAAAGAGTGACGAGGGAGGGGAAAAAGAAGTAAGAGCCATTGAATTCGAAGAGGGAAAATCTGCTGCTGCTTAGTTAAGGTTTCCTTCGGGGTTTACTCCGCCTTCGCATGAACCACCACGTCAAACCAGCTCACGATAAATCCTCCTGCTCTAGACTACTAACTGACGATATCAATACCCGCTTTCGCTGCTTTAAGCCGGAGTTTCTCGTTTTTCACCTTCAATATGGCTACTGGTATGTACTTTCACTTCTCTCTTTGTGCACCTTACCTCCGCCCGCCATTAAGTCTCTCTTTCATCCCGCTCTTTATCCCCGCATTGATCCTCAACCCAAGACATCCGCTTCCCAAAGCCCGAAATTCCAGATCCCACTAACCAACCAACCCAGATCCAGACGGAGACTCCCAAATGGCTTCTTCCCCCGAATCCTCCCACATGCACTCCGAAGACTCCCCAGTCGGAGCTCGTACCCCTACGAACATTCGTAGCGCCACCTCCCAGTTCCCAGGCACCTCAGAGCTCTCTCCGCCCGGGTCGCAGACACAATCTGTATCAGCTGATGTTGGGGGGCTCGCTGGACTGGGGAATACTAACGCGTCTGGAGGCTCCGCGGAGACGACATCCGCTCAACAGCAGCAGCAACCGGGGGCATCGTGGAATAACAAACGGGCGGAGGAGGAGTACCACCGGGCAATGGAATTTGTGATTGATCAGGACTTCAACCTAGGTGGGTTCAACTTCGCGTTTTGGTTTGGTGGCTTAGAGGCTTGATTTTTCCGTGTGGTTTGGGTTAATGCTGACCGTTGCGGTACATAGACGAGTTCGGGGACCCATTTGATGACAGGGATATGGAGGAGAAATTATTCTAGAGATATGGGCTACAGGTAGACATGGTGTTTAGGGCGCTTTTGTGTTCTTCGGTGCTTCTTTTCTCGGGGGATTTGAGTGTGATTCCTGGTTTGAGACATGAATGATTTATGAGATATGATTGTCGAATTTGAGGGGGTTTTCTGAGGATATAGCTGGAATGAGACAGGCGATGAAGTCTAAAGCATTTTATGATTTATAGATATCTACTAGGAGAAGAAAAGTGAGATCTGGAATTGCAGTCGATCCAAGTTGAAGAAGTTGGAGGTGGTAATGGTCATTCAAGGTGTCAGTAAGACAAAGATGCAACATCCAACGGCGATCTACGGAGTAAACATGGATCATTATATCATAGACATTTTAAGTTAGCCCACATAACAAGCTAATCATATGAATGATAAAGAAAACATATCTTAAAATCAAAGAAGCCCACTCATCATTGGTCAAAGTTAACATTGGTCTCTTCAGCCTTTGTGATCGAAGCAGTCGTTGGCACAGCAACGGGCCGAGCCAAACCCACCGAAAACAATTCACTCTAGTCCATCATATCATTTATTTAACTCCAGTTTCCACGCGCGCCTCTATCACTTACCACGAGACGACCCTACTCTGCATTTAGTACCGGATCCCTTCATATTTATAAGACTGTGTATCGACATATCAGGACATCAATAGCGCCCAGAGTCATTGCCTATACCGTCGCTCTTTGACGTCACAATTGTTTCCATTACTCGCGTCGGTGAAAGAGATAATGTCAACCACCGACGAGTCTGCGATGCGGGCAGAACCTGATTTACAAAAATGGTAATTATATCTTGCATTTACACATTCCGCACATCAAGATTTTGAAGGACACAAATAATCTACCTGTCCCAAGCCGAGGCATTGATTTGTTCCTTTGAACCCCCCTTTTTGCACAGCTGTGCCTGTCCCAACGGGGAAATTTCAGTCACTTGACACAAGCGCTACACATACGAATCTTACACCTTCTGAAATACCGCTAACTTGTGAATCGCGCGGTTTCTACAGTCCCCTTCCAAATCCTAAATTCCAACAACTCCAAGAAGACAGGTTCCGATTCACTCCTGTCAAAGTTGTGAAGCCCGCCCCGCGCATCTGGGATCGCCAGCCTTCCACCCCGTTTCTGGCACGTCCCAAATCGCGGAAGGTGTGGAAGCGCTTCCGCTCCTCATTCAACAGTATGAAGGCGCTGCAGCGCTTGATTTCCGCGCAGAGTACTCCTGATGATCACGACGACCTATACACCGAAATCAACACGTCGCGGAATGAAGATTACATGCGCGGCGTCAAGAGACGGTGTCTCGTGCATGATTCTGAGGAACAGGTAGAGACAAAGGCGTCCCGAGGACGCTCTTTTCTAGAGACAAAATGGGAGTCAGAGGCCAGTGGGAAAAGGCGTAAGTCACCATCGCGTGTCCTTATCGTGTTGTTCTTGGGGAGCCAGTTTTGACTTTTACTAGGTAAATTTCCCGCCTATCGCAGTCTCGTGCACAGCCCCGAGCCTATCGTAGCCGATTCTCAGGCGCTAGGGGCCAGCGACAACGATGACAGCGATACGAGTTATCAAAACGCACCCGATGCTGCCACGTCAGGTGATGAAAACTTGCCGGATACGGCTGAAAGCGACGAATCGATGGATGGTAGCCCAGACACGCCTACCAGATTGGCTGCTCCCGCGGCCTATCCCTGCACGCTACATGGTTTACAAAGTGGGATGGATGGAATCACTGCCGATATAAAGGGATCTGATGATCTCAGTCAGCCCCAGGCTGACCTGCCTGGGTCTAGCTCTCTAGAAGCTGGTCCTTCGGAGAATATAAAGGAGCAGGAAAATGATGCTGTTTTGGATACAATGACGGATGATCTACAATCTGGACTATGCGAATCACAAACTTCTGCAACGGTGTCTCCAGAGAGTGTGCAGCAGATAGACGCCACAGAACCACCAGCAGCGGCACCCGTGCAGGACCTGACTGCAGAACAGGAGTCGACTTTGGTCCGATCGGCACTACGGAGCTCTTTGGATGGCGAGGATGCCGAGTTACTCAATAACTTTTTGTCCAAAGCGAAAGCCAAACGAGAGGCCAAAGCCGCAGCAGCCGCGATGGTTACGCAGGATACAGAAGAGAAGGCCGACCCGGAATACGTGGAGATCCCCGAAATTCCCACACCGCAAGGTCGTCGGGTCCTGGAGGATCTGGATGCCAATTCACCCTCACCGCAGAAAGCCCAGTTGTCGCCATCCAAGGCTGCGGGCAAGGATATTGACGAAAATGAAGATCAGCTGTCTTCCAGTCCCCGTCGAAGCACCCGAACTCGTAGTGTCAAGCCCCCGCCGCGGATGACTACTACGACTACGGCGGCTCGCAACACCTTGACGCTTCGTCGCGCGAAGGGAACCGAATTCGTCTTTCTTAAAAAGACCGAAGCCCAGGAACTGGCACTGGCGACTCGTCGGAACACGCGAAAGAATAAAGGAGATGCGATGTTGCCGAAGTATACGCTACAGACTTTGGCTCAACAAACATCGGATTCCGATGCCACATCCGATGACGACAAATCTGCACGCGATCCTGGTCGGCGGCGGGCGTCCGCAAAGAGGGTGTCATGGAACGACGAGCGACTCGTTGAGTACGAAGGTGAGAGTGGAGAGGGGAGTAGCGATGACGCTGCTGGCCGAGGAGGGAAATCTAAAAATTCAGAGAAAAGAAAGGCGGCCAGTAGCCGCACGACGCGTTCGCAGGATCCGTCGAAGACTGGTGGTGACACCGTGCCGGCTGCATCGACTACTGCAGCGACTACTGCAACTCCTCGACCGCGGCGTGTGCGGCGACTAGGAACACCCAAACCTACTGCAGCCGTTGACGCCAGTGCATCTCCGTCCACCAGCATGAGCCCGCCCGAAACACGCAAAAAGCTGATCCCTAAGTCTCCCCGAACGGCATTAGCGGGGAGTGGCGCATCGAAAAAATCTCCCGTGTCAGCACCCGGAGTGACACTCGAGCGTCAGGAGACAGTAGCTCACTGAAGAGCTCAAGTCTTTTCAAGGCCCATGCCGGGTCAACACCGATGCCAAGGCGAGTGCGATCGTGACCGTGACGGTCCGTCTGAGCATGTTTTTAACATATCTTCATGAAGGCTATTTTTCGGCTTGCTCCCTTGGTACAAAGTGTAGGACTGAAGGGCTGTACATATTCATAATCCTGTCCATATTGTCTCCGACCATTAATGATCTCTGGAGTTGGACGGCGTTGGTTTAGACACCGGGCGTTGCTATTTACATCCCATAATATAATTCTTGTTGCTCTCTTTCTTTCTGCATTAGTTGTGGTCCGCCTGGGGGAGAAGATGAAGAAATCCGGGGGAATGGAGAAGACGCACAGAGCCTGATCGGCGGTGTTTGTGTCGGTTTGCATGTGATTTATGCAATCTTACCCCAAGCGTCAACCTCCATTCTGAATTCTGCTCGTTTGTTTACTGTGTACATCTGAACCCCGGCTTTCACTCACGGTCTCAGGCCTTGACGCCGATCTTTGTCAGATCAACTCTCAGATCTCGCTTAACCTCCTCCAAGTGAATGCCTTTCGGGAGAAGGCAGCATTCATCGTCCTATCCGGGTGGTAGGCTACCGAGTCTTTCCGTAGAGGGGCTCGGGATGTGGGATCATCACGAAAAGTAAACCCATTATTATGGAGCACGTCTTATTATCTGGACTCCATCTACTCCATAACACGGTGCAATCATGATTGTGATGATGAACTTGCCTGCAGATGTGGTGAAACTGATATCCAGTGGTGTGTATGTTATGCCACTATCGTAATACCTTTACTTGTATTGATACCCGACTTCAAGTTAATACCTCACTTTCCAACCCTGATAACTGCACCGGAGCCAAAAAAGAAAGAAAGAAAGAAAGCGAGAACCAAAAAGAAGAAAACAAAAAATTAAATGGGTATAGCCCAAATTCCCTCGATGCAGAATGATATCATCCTCCCCCACCGCTCCCTAGACCGAGATATCTCCAACGAGCAACCAAAACCCGACCACCATTCAAGCCATCTACCGGGAACCATCTACCTGTCGAGCTCCGATCTTCACGGTATGGAACTTGGCTACTCTTAGCCAAATTGGCATCTTCAGTAGAATAAGGAAAGTTTACCTACTCTTCATGAGGATCTTTGTCGATCAGAAGACGGATACAGGTCTACAAGATACCTGCTACACGGTGGCAGGTACATGATCATGTACATAGGTACATACATACCACCCTTACCTGCAATATCCAAGTTTCCCTCTCTATCAAAACGCCTCTGGCTTATCAGGACCCAATCCCTTGGAAGTGTCTCACGGACCTATGGCACCCCTCCAACTGTCCATTATGAAACATGCCTTCCATCTCAACTCACCGGGTATCCATTACCTGAGATAAACCAAATAAAGAAAGGCCAACAGGCCAACCATACTTGGCGCAGTACATTGTTCTACAGAAACGGAATATGGAGCGGGTGTCCCTCGGTTCCTGAACCATACTTAAGTTTGATAGACAAGGACGAACCACTCAGTTACATCCATCGAGGGACCAAGTATACCTACCACCTACCTACCACCGTATCAACGAAGGGACAGGATAAGAACTGCGCCGACGCTACCCATGGCATCTGCCCCAAAATTTACTAAAAGAGTAGAAAGTCAAATCAAACAATGCCCCAAATTTAATCCCTCAAAAACCCTCCAAGTGGGAATCCATATCCATCGTCCATCAAATCATGGCAACGCACCGCCCATTGCAAATGTAGGTCGTCTAAGGTACTGTACCTCTCTGCCTCATACTAAGTGGGACCCCTCCATGTACACCTTTCCCATTTCATCTGTTTCCCCACCGTGGAAACCCGAGTTTATGATTGCATCCCACGTCATTCCCGACATGCCCTCTCTGGCGGGAACAACAAGGGTAGGGTTACGGACGTGTAGGGTTAGGTTTTGGAATGGTCACGGTTCCACTGGGTTGCACGGGCTTTACCGCATTGGGGGGGTCCGGTGTTTTAGGGCTTTTCCGGATTTGCCCACCGGAGAGAGTGTCCAAAGGCTCCGGGATTTCCCGACCTTGTTGAGGCTTTTTGTTTCGCTGAGGTTGTATTGGTTGTTTTCTCTTCCAGCGTTGTATCTTCTGCCTATCTCGGTAGTAGTACTTGTATTCGAGGTCCTTCCTGTATTGATGGTGGTTGATATTCCTTCTTGACCTACTGCTGTCTCCTAGGTTAGTATCTATTTTTACATTCATATTTCTTTGATATGTATAGATCTATACAGTACGACAGTAAAGAACTCTCCTGCGAACTCCGTGTAACTATCCCAAAACTCAATTGAATCCATGAACTCAATGGATAGTTATTCATATCAAACCAGGGTAGTAATTAGTATTGTTGTATAACTCGGGATCCATTTCTCTTGTTCTTACCGGGTCTGGCGCATAGCGTCATCCTACATAACTTACTAAAGCGCTAGCCGACCTGTCGCATGTCATGGAGGACAGTCCTCCGAGTCCACCTTTCTCATCTGTGCTAATTACAGTAGGGGGATGCACGTCGCAGGGGTAACTGCTTTCGAGGCATGGTTTCTGGTTCCAGAGAGCTTCAACTTTTCATTGTATTGGTCCTCTTCTGCTCTCACTTTGATTGCCCTGGGCGGCTAAAAAAATTAATTCAAAAAATTATTCAACCACCTTTCCTAAATTCTAATTTTATTATTTTTGGGACTGCTTGCTTTGGGTATTCTCTGTATATTCTATTATTCTTTTTATTCGAATTTTTGTTTTTTTGGTTTTTGTTTTTTGTTTCTTGTATGGTACCTGGTAAATTTTTTCTTATGTATGTTATTTACAAAGTATTCCATCCAAGTTGGTCATGTCGTAGGCCGTGACATTTCTTCGTTTGATACTATGGGAATAGAGTAGCCAATGTATACTATATATGTTTTCGTCTCCCGAACAACTCTCCAAGTGTTTATGTCCTGCATAAAGAAATGAAGTCTATTGTCCCATCTACAGCGGTTCTGCTTTAAGCAGACAGGTTCTGGGCGGTCTCCTCAGGCCACACGTCGTAGCCGAAGGTGTCCTTCATGTTGACGAAGCGGAAGTGACGGCCCTCGGCGACCTTGTTGACGGCCTCGAAGTCCGCGTCGGTCAGCTCGATGCTCTTGAAGTTGGACTGAATACGAGCGGGGTTGGAGCTCTTGGGGAGCACCACGTAGCCGCGACGCAGACCCCAGGCAATGAGCACCTGGGCCAGGGTGTTGCCGCCCTTCTGGGCGATCTCGTTGAGAGTCTTGTTCTCGCTGACCCGCTCGCCGGTGGTGGGCACCTGGTTCTGGGAGCCCAGGGGCGAGTAGGCCGCGGGGAGGATGTTGTGCTTGAAGCAGTAGTCGACCAACTCCGTGTTGGGCAGGAAGGGGTGGACCTCAATCTGGTTGACGTGAGGCTTCACCTCGGCGTACTTGAGCAGCTTGTCGAGACCCTCAATGGTCCAGTTGGAGACACCAATAGCCTTGGCCTTGCCTTCCTTGTAGAGCTTCTCCATGGCGCGCCATGTGGGCTCGGGGTTCTCAGTGAGGTCCTTGAGGATGACGTACTGTGATGATTCCGTTAGCTTTTGGGACGTGAAACTCGGCTGCGGAGCATGATATGGTCCATACCTTGCCGTCGGCACCAATCTTGGGGTGCTCCTGGTCCTCCTTCTCGGCGGCAATGGGCCAGTGAACCAGGAAGAGATCAACGTAGTCCAGGCGGAGTCTCTTCAGGGAGTTCTCGACCGACCACTGGACGTCCTCCGGACGGTGGAGGTGGTTCCAGACCTTGGTGCAGACGAAGATGTCTTCACGCTTGACCGAGGGGTTCTTCTGGAGGAAGTCGTGGATACCGTCACCAACCTCGTCCTCGTTGAGGTAGAACCAGGCACAGTCCAAGTGACGGTATCCGGTCTCGAGGGCGGTCGTGACGGCCCGGTAGGTCTCGCCCTTGGAGCCCTCGCTGGCGAAGGTACCGAAACCGACCGCGGGCATCTTAACGCCATTGCTCAGCGTGTAGGTCTTTCCGTTCGACATGTTGGGCAGCTGTGATAATGAGATTTGGGAGGGTGGGTATGATTCGAGAGATAGGAGTTCAAAATGAGAAGCTTTCAGGGAAACAAGAAGAGGGGTTCATGGGTTGGTATAGTAGGAAAATATAACGAGAGGGGTATATTGGCGCGAGTCGAAGCTCCGCGAAAAAGGTGGGGTGGAACAACCACAACAACAACGAGGGGTTAAGTCCAATGATGGAATTCCCCTTAATTTCTCTCCTAGGGACTGGTTGAACGATCATTCCACTTTTACTGCTTCCGGCGAGCTCTCTTCCTTTCGGTGGGATTTTCTGGATCTTCTCTTCTATCATTCTTGGTTTCTCTCCAGACTTTGTTGATGTGATGTGAAATTACAGACATCCAATACGTACGATACTACACCTATACACACCAGGTACACTACCGACATACAAACCGACAGAACATGCTACGATGAGTTCTCTCTAGTACATCCGCAATCCCCACTCCATGACGGCATCAACAACCACCACCACCCCAGCGGTTGCAGCGAGAGGAATGAAAATGGAAATGAAACGGATTGAAATGAGAATGTACGACGGGACTCCACCAGCCGAGAAAGCCGCCATGACATCATTTGATTTCAGAGTCGAAACGGCGTGAGCGTTTGACCCGCTGTCGCCCGCTCGATCGTCATCGTCTCCATCGATCTCAAGCGCTTCCCATGGGTGGAAATCTTTGACGGCCAATTAATCGCCACCCTGGAGGGCCCGCTGGAACCTCTCCTGTCCAGTCACCGTGCAGGGTGGCTTCATGCTGGTTCGGAGGATCAGCTCTCTGGATGCTCGTGCAGTGAGGGAGGGAAGACGCCTGGAGGGAGGGTGGTTGCAAAGAAATGGAAAAACCATCAAAAGATCAGCCCTGATGGCCAATGGACCGGAGAAGCACTCCTTCTGCTGTAACCCTCCCGCCCCGCCGTCCTGCACTGGTTCGGGATTAGCCTTAGGCAGCTCTCTGCAGCTTTTCTCTTGGTGGGGGGACTGAACTCTTACCTTCTCCGTACCTCAGGTATTACACTTTCGCATTACCGCAGGGTCCTTGGATGGTCCGTAATTTTACAATACGGGGGGACCTCAATCCACGGGTAACTTCCTTTACGAAGCTGGATTGGGCCTAGTGCGACTCCGCCGTACCCGCAGCAGGCGTATCTCTCTCTCCCCGACACCGAATCAGCTTGATGCAAATACCAAATTCGTTGATGACGATAATTCTCAGGAATTCATCGATGATGATACTCCTTCGACCAAAAAAAAATATCCCAGAGTGGAGCCCTGGGCGATGATGGATGCGTGCAAGGGTAATGAAATTAAAAAATAATAATAATATCATCCTTCTTTTATGGAAATGCAATTGACCGCCACTGGCACGGTTGATATATTAGTATCAGACTTGCCCTCCTCGAACTCAATGGTTATCATCTTTTCTACTCTACCTTTTCAGAACACTCCCAGGAGACTGCCCTATAGCTCGAGGAAGCTTGTTGGCTGTCGATCCGTTTATCTTTTTCCAGGAGTGATATCATCACCTCTTATATATACATCATCACCCCTCCTCCCCTCTTATCTCCTCTCCTAGGGATTCCTGATCAATTCCACCTATCTATCTCGACTTATCTTCACAATGCCTCGCTTCGACGACGCTGACTTCGCTGTGGATCCCGCCCCTGCGGCTCCCGGTACTGCTCCGGCCCCCGCTGCTCGCTCCCCCAGAGATGGCCGTGGCAGCCTGGCTGGTTCTCTGCCCATCCCTAACGATGCGGGTGCCACCATTGAGATCCCCGCAACCCGCAGCTCCATCAGCGATGCTGCCCAGTACATGCACAACCTGAGCCTGGCTCCCTCGACAAGGGATCGTCGTGGCTCTCGCAACTCCTTCGGAACCTCCCTCCCTATCCCCAGATCTCCTCGGGTGTCTCGTCTGGCATCCGTGGTCGCCGCTGATGGCAACTCGGTTTCCCGCGACCTCCTGGCTTCTCAGGTCCAGGACATGTCCAAGGAGAAGGTCGCTGCTGCCAAGAACATGGCCTTTGCCTTCGATATCGATGGTGTGTTGGCCCACGGTAACCATGCCATTGAGCCCGCCAAGGAGGCCCTGAAGATGCTCAACGGTGACAACGAGCTGGGCATCAAGATCCCTTACATTCTGCTCACCAACGGTGGTGGTAAGACCGAAGCTGCCCGTTGTGAGCAGCTCACCGAGGTTCTCGGTGTTCCGATCTCGACCGACCAGTTCATCCAGTCTCACACCCCAATGCAGGCATTGGCTGAGTACTACGAGACGGTGCTTGTGCTGGGTGGTGAGGGCCAGAAGATCCGTGAGGTCGCCGAGAACTACGGCTTCAAGAACGTCGTCCACCCCAAGGACATTGTCGCCTGGGACCCCACCGTGTCTCCCTGGGGACACTTCACCGAGGAAGACCGCGCCCAGGCGAAGCCCCGCGACTTCTCCAAGATGAAGTTCGACGCCATCTTGGTCTTTGCTGACTCTCGTGACTACGCGACCGACATGCAGCTGATCCTGGATCTCTTGCTCGCGGAGGATGGCAAGTTGTTGACCCGTGCCAAGGACCCCGTCGCCTCTCGCATCCCCATCTACTTCTCTCAGGGTGACCTGATCATGCCTACCGACCACCAGGGACCCCCCCGTCTCACCCAGGGTCTTTTCCGTATCTCCATTGAGGCTCAGTACAAGGCTCTCACCGGCGTCGACCTGGAGCGTGTCGTCTACGGCAAGCCCGAGCGTGCCACCTACACCTACGCCGACGAGGTCCTCAAGTCGTGGATGGAGCAGATCCACAACGAGAACCGTCTCCCCAAGAACATCTACATGGTTGGTGACAACCCCGCATCCGACATCTGCGGTGGTAACATGTACGGCTGGAACACCTGCCTGGTCCGCACCGGTGTCTTCCAGGGCGGTGACAACGACACCAACAACCCCGCCAACTTCGGTGTCTTCGCCAACGTCTTGGAGGCCGTCAAGGCTGCCGTCCGCAAGGAGCTTGGCCAGGAGTTCAAGTTCAAGTGGAACCCCAAGGTTAACCCCGTCACCGGCGGTGACAGCGGCTCCGCTGTCGAATAAACGACGATCATGCCCAAAACCTAAAAGGAACAAGGAAACTTCCGTTTCACTGGCGTTTGGTTGATTCCTTTTGATATGCTTCTATCTACTATATTTTCTTTCCCCCACTTTTGATGCTAGACCCCAGCGTCTTTCACGGCTTCTCTTTTTTTTCACGGGTTTGAACTTTTGATATCCATGGTCACCATCTAGCCTGAAACCAGCAGTGCGATGGTGGATCTCTTTCCTTACATTCTTCAATTTAGACTGGGTTATATTTATGTGATGATGCAAGGGCATCAATGAACAAGTCTTGTTTTAAAACATCATGAGGTTCAACTGGGTTTGGATACACGTATAGATTTCTTTGGCTTAGATTTTAGCAGCAATTGAAAGCGCCTGTGGCAGCACGACCACAAGGAGAAACTCTGTTTCAAACTTCTTTCTCGAGTCGTTGACGACATTCTGATGTAGACGAACTTAAAGCTTAAACCCAATCACTCAGGGTAGTCCCATTCATACTACGCAGTAGATCAAGAGGACCCTCGAAACATGAATGCCAACTCTCTGGAAACACGTAATCTCCCAATTCCTCCATCCACCTACATACATCCTTCTTTGAAAACAATAAAACTAGAAAACCACACCCATCATCCCGAAAGAAAAAA